TCATAATCCAGTCCACTACAAACAGAGATAACATCGGTGATGAATACACAGTATTCTCGCAATTAAATTTGTATTGAATAAAACTGAATATAAATATACTTTTTGATAATGTAAAAGACGAGGGATTAAATAAAATGACAGTCAAAGTTACACAGAGAATTTATATCTTGTCAGTAAAGTTTCCTTCGTTTTCCGTTGACGATTTGAGAGGATCTTGTAGACAGATACGTTAGACTATACTTTGGAACGATTAGTGTATTGTATCAGTTCTAGACTCTACAGAAATGTCTGTGTTCAAGTGCGCCAGAAATTGTGCCATGATAAGAAGTAGGAGCTTAAGAATGATTGAAGTTGAAAGATTCAGGTTGGTTTAAGTGAATTAAGCAGAAATCAGGCAGTTAGAATAATCATTTATCAGGACAGATCCTTAAATCCTTCAGTTTAAAGAAAGAAGTCATGAGTTGTGGGGTCCGAAAATCTCCTTTCGGGACATAATTACTAATTAAAGTAGACAGTAGATGTCGTACATATCACTGAGAATTGATACACCTTAGTATTCCCTTATCCTTAGATTCTAATTCAGAGGCTGAATGATAAACTTAACTAGATCGTAATCTGAAGGACCTCATTTCTACTATTGATATTACTGTTACTCTGGCACTCTGTTTCAGGGTCTCATATTTGGGATAAATAGCTGTGTGATTCGTCCAAACTATCAACAGTTTTCTACCTTCTATTGACTTTCAACGTTACCTGCATTGTTCTACTTATCTAATGATGTAAAGGAAATATTCTGAAGATTTCAACATAGTCAAGTGAAAGGATGTTTCAAGCGAACTTTGTTTATTTGAAGCTGTATTCATAAAACAAATGTAAGCCAACCTATGAGTTTAGAAAGAAATGATTGACTTTCAACTGCATTCATTTTTCAATAAGTTAGCTTTTCTAATACACTCCTGAATTACTTGCATACCTGCAACCTCTTCTCTTACATTGACTCACTTCAATTTTATGTCGTTCTCGTCGCTTACATAATCATTATTGTATCATATGCAATTGCAAATGATTCCAGAAAAGGAATCCATTTCGTCTAAAATTACATAGTCTCATCTACACTAACAGATAATATTTAGTATAGTTAACCCAATCACTTTCTGGTGTGTCTAAACTTTTCTCACACATTCCAGAATAGTTTTCCAACCTGTTTCCCACGTACATTTGTGTACATTAGTGTTCCACTGAATCAAATGCAGCAGCTTTCGCTTATTTGTCTACCCATCCTCTACTGTAGAACAATAAGTATCGGAAGTATGATCTTTTTTTGTGTGTAATCCTAGACTGATCATTTAAGTATGTATTAGGATTGTATGCAACAATAAAGACTCCTATTTTAAACGAAACTTCTGCATCTCTTTAAGGAAGCAGTATTTGTCAAAACCCAGAACTGCATTTGCAATTGATTAAAAGAAAGCATTAAGTGGAAGCATCTCAACTCAAGATGGAATCCTGTGCCAATCAATCAAATCCCTACAAACCAATACTTGAATATCAATGAGATACTCAACAACCCCTGGCACCATTCGGGAGTGTAGTTACCTAGGGTTCGAGTGAGAAGTCATAAGCAGTAGGGTGCAGCAGGTCGGTTGTGAGGACAAATACTCTCCAAAGACACTGCCTACTGGTTGCGCCATGTCGTGAATTGGTAAAAGGAAGAAATCATGGACTGGCCATTGGTTCAGGTCCCAGTGCCTTAATGGTCTACGAGCTTGCCTTGTAACTAGAAAGCAGTGATTTTGAACCTTGATGGTTAAGTACCGACAAAGAGTGCCATAGTACGATGAAACAGCTGTCACGTACTACAAGTTGGTTTTCCAGTGGTTTTCTAACCGCTCGTGATGAAATCCTGTAACCAATAAAACAGAGTTGTTTAAACAATCTAGGCTGATACGCATCAAAAAGTGTACAGATGAATTTCAACAGTGTTATTTCACGTAATTCTAGTGTATTTTTAGTAAACCATCATTTCGGCCATATACTAAGTGATATTTGGGTACATAAGCTTGATCAAATGGATAAAATGCAATGAAATATACCATATGAAGTTATAAAGTTACTAAAAGCCAGGAAAGTGGCATAAACAGATGTAATTCTCCAAGGACGTCAAAAGACCTGCTCACATGGAAGCCGTTGAAGAATGGAAATATGCCTGACGGTTCGAAGAAGAGCTACCTAGTAAAATAGCCAAAAATCGGAGAATTAAGGCACGGAAAGGAATAGCTCAGAATGGTGCTTTCATCCACATCTTAAGTAAAATAATCAAACTGCATCATCCTTGAGAGACTAATAGATACTGAGACCTGGGTGGAGAAAGAAATCATACATGAATTCAACTGCAACATTACTCATTACCTTGGGAAAGCTTTTGAGAGCGTCAGCTATCAAGTAATCTGAAAACCGCTGGAACATTAAAGAATTCAGTGTAACAAACATTTAATAACCTCATTCACCATCTGTTTGACAATGCCACATGACAAATGACTCACAACGGAATGCTTAGCGAAGTGTTTGAAGTGAGGACAAGCGTAAGACAAAGCCACCTAATGACATTCATAATATTCCTGATTATGCTATAGACTGGATAATGCAACACACTGTTACGAGTGAGAAGAGGACCACACGTTGAAGTAACGAATTCTTCCTACAAGATCTGAATGATCAGTCTCATACGTCACACAAACTTGAAGATATACATGCGAAATCCAAATGGATAGATAGGAGGAGAAGGAAAAATGTAAATGAAGTCACCTCTTTGAGTGAACCACGAATGGGAATCGACGGAAGAGTATTTGAGTAGGAAACGAAGCCTGTTACTCACTTCTCACAAGTGAACACAGAAGACGCAGTGCATTGAAGATGTACCAGTAGATGAAAGTGTACTTCTTGGAAGGTAAATACTGAATAATAGTAAATAATGCACCCAACATTTTACAATAAGTCTCTCCTTTAATTGGTTTGTAAAGGTAAGTTTTGTTTTTACGAGTTGATCACGGATTGATATCAGTTAGAGAACCATTGAAAATGAGGGAGTACTGGACAGCTGTTTCATCCTAGTTTGGGAATCGTCGGCAGTACGCACCCACCACCAGCGTTCAATTCCTGGACCTTCCGGTCACACGGCAATCTCGTATACCATTCAGCCACTGGGACCCGATTCAATGGCTATTCCATGAATTATAACTTCTGTCAATTCGTGATTTGGCGTGACCCCAATCAATGTCGTTGGTGGGTTCGAACCACATTGGAGGCGTACTGCCGACGATTCCTAAACTAGGACAAAACAGCTTTCCAGTACTCCCTGGTTTTCAATGGTTGTCTAACTAATATCAATCCGTGATCAACTCGTAAATATAAGTCTCTTATTAACGTCTGTAGCGCTGTTCAACACATTGTCTTTCTGTTCGAATAATTTATTAAAACCTATAGGAATTTACCATTTCCCGTGGAACTTAAGCGGAGTTTCTTGACCTTGAGTTTGCTTGACCTCCCTTCTGAAGTTCCATCTACTTTACGTACATCACATACGATGCCTATTTATTAGATATTATCATAATAACGCACATCATACTACAGGAACATTCGACCATAATATATGCGTATGGAATAAAGTCAACACCCTCATCACACTGACGAGTTTTATATTCAGAAGAAAGATCTTCTTTGCCTTATGTCTTCCAGTTAACTGCTTGTGAAGTTTAACGCTAGTAACTTGTGGTTTAAACAGTAGAAATAATCATTCAATGCGTAACTCAACTTTATTTGCTTAATAAACATTAGACATAATTATTAGTTTTATTCATCAGTTGCTCACTAGCGCATCAAAATATATCACATAACATTCATGGTCAGCATCTTCACACTACTCATAAAATCAAAATTATCATCCATTTTCAGTCTGCTTGGTTTCTCTCACCAATTAGGTAAACAATGAACTGATATCTCTGCTTCCCACAAAGTTCGACACCATGACTATATAACTTGTAGGTCCTGGGTTCAATCAGCAGCTGGGTCGTGTGAGCTTACTACTGAAGAGTCCTAACTTAGTATGAAACATCTATCCAGTACTTCTTCATTTTCAATACTGCTGTAACTAAAGTCGTTTTCTAATCAAACCTGAGATCAATCGAATCACTGTGAAATCAACACTTGAGAAAAGACTTCCCTTCTTTATGGATACTATTCAAAGTATAGAATAATAAAGTGAGCAGTAATCATCCAGATGACGAGTCACAAATTGGACAAAATGCGCATCCTAGATTCCACTGCTAGTCACCCACCATCCACCAATTAACCAGTAATCATTTTTGTCTATATTGAATGAATGCTTTGATTATTGTTCATCTTCTGTCTACAAAACATTAAGGTAATCAAGCAAACATGACAAGAAAAGGAACGCCTAGGTGCGAAGAATAACCACGTGTACGTTAACCAATGAATAGGCGGTATATATATATATATATATCCGTCTGTGGCACAGTGGTTAGGACGGTCGCCGATCATACACATGGTCGGGGTTCGATCCCTGGCCGACGCACACCTGATATCAATTGTCGGCCAGCTAAATTTGGACTACCGATATCACATGCTGAAAATTCCATACCTGTATCAAAAATAATGTCTGGAATCAAGCTATAATAAGATTTTTTTAAGTTAAATATTTAACATTTTTTCTGGTCTAATTTTTATTTGAATCGATACAATTTGTATGAGGCATCAGCTAATATTAGTATCGTTTTCCACATATTTTTGGGCATCGATGTATTAAAGCACGACACGCTTTTCCCTTTCAGGTTCTGGGCTTCATAAATCACATTGATAATAATAATTGTATTAGTATCACATTAACCAATCAGATTAAAGTAGATAGTGGGTAAATTGAATAGTGCATTTCTATTGGTTAATTCTTCGAATCATTTGCCCAAAAATAGTAATCAAATCAAATCAAAACATTATTCCTTAGTTGTTGTTTTTTGATTTTATTTTTATTTTCATTCATAAGTATATACACCACACGTAAATATACACACATAAATACAAACATGTTTTCGTACAATATTCTGTTGCCTTCATTTACGATGATCAGTAAAATGCCTATGTGTTTGACGAATATTCACTGACCGCCTGAGACAATTGACATTAGTTAATTCACAAACACATTTGTATAGAAACAATCATTGAGTGAAACCACAACTTCATATTGTTCTGAGAATAACAGAGACAAAAATCAACAACCTCCTCACCGACAAACGCCTAACAACTTCCATTCAACTAGCGGAATAAGTATTCTTCAAATATCTAAGGATTATATAGAAAACATTGACTGCTGTACTCTCTATCTATCTCTCTTTATCGCTCTATCTCTCTAGATGATGTGGATACTTATAACGTGTATTTGAAGGAAGACGAAGAGGTGGGCTGCAGAAGACAGGACAAATACAGAACTTACTTTTTTACTTTTTCGCCTCAGAAACACATATCCCTTCTACCTGAATAAAGAATAAAAAGCCGTTGTTTTACTGCTGAATTTCTCTTCAAAATGGATAATATTTGTAGAAAAAAGAATAAGCCAGTTGCTTGCCTTGAGGATCAAAAAGTCAATCATATTGCTACTACCACTAATAATAATAATAACAATAATAATAATGATAAAATCAATATTAACAGTGATCAAAGCAACAATACAACTACAAACAATCATTTTACACCTATCACTCCAGTCACATCAGCGTCAAAAATGAAGACTTCGCGAACAAGTACACCAAATAGCACTGGAAGACATTCAGTGAATTCATCATCCACAACCACATCGTCATCATCACCGTCATCACATTCATCAACTTCACCGTCGACAAATAAATCAACAATCAAAATGACAATAAAGACAGTTAAAGTTAGTCAAAATACAGATAGTAAAAATCAGCCACCAGAATCAGCTGAAAATATCGACAGTAATGGCAATAGTAGTCGGAGCAGTCAACTGAATAATCATAGTTTCTCATCCACTGATTCTGGTCGTAGTAGTATAAGCAGTAGTCAGACAAGTAACGGTGACGAAGTCAATGAGAATCATTTCAAGAATAAATCCAAGATCACTAGTGAATTCCACCATCCGACATTGATGATGAGAATAGTAATAAGAAAAAGAAGAATGTTAGTGGAAGTAGTAATAATAGTAGTGGTAATAGTAATAATAATAATACTGATAACACTACTCGTCCTCGTGGTGGTGGTGGTGGTGATATTGATGATGGTGATGAGGATGATGTTGATGATGGTCAGGATTCACCGACTACATCAGCTGAACTGGATATCTACTCCGATGTCACACTAATACCGAAATCAACTATAAATATTGATTTCACTACAAAAGTAAGCAAAAAGTCAACGAAACGTGTCAATGTTGGACGTAAACCAATGAAAGGGATTACTGCGAAGTCAACACGACCTAATTTAACCAATGGTACAATACCAACTGACGCGGTAAGTGATGCTACTCAGTCTCTTTTATTTTCATTTTTTAAATCAATAAGGTTTTTCTATCGCTTTCTAAGAATATTTCAGTTGTCTAAGTAAGGGTGACATGAATCAGGGTGAACCAATTTTACATTTTTTTTCATTATTGTATAGTTGCCATATGCGTCGGTGGCACAGCAGTTACGACGCTCGCCGACCATGCACATCGTCCTGGGGTCAGGTCCCGGCCACTGATGGACTCTTTTACCGCGCTAAGCCAGAAATAAAGCTGGTAAAGAGGAAAAGTTGGGTATCAGGCTGGCAACCCCATTCTGTACAAATAAACAACACTGCAGTATGCACTTCAAGCGTCTAGCTTGAAGCCCTATGTTTCACTGGGAACGTGGAGGAATAAAAAAGCATTTGCTATCCTTAAAATTTTGTAAAAAGAAGAGGTTACCTGAATAGTTTAAATGGAGTATTGATTGAAGTCGTAAGAAGGTCTGATTCATGTGAAGACATTTGAAATAGCTGACTAAATCCTAGTGGTAGATTTAGCAATCTCTTGATTATGGATAGGTGACTAATTCATTGAATGGAAGCAAGTTATCCTATAATTTAATCCCATGTTCAAGTTATCTGCATTTTCAAAAACGAATGATATTTAAAATGGCGGAGTGATTATTTCTTCTCTCGGACTGTGAAGATCACTTTCGTATGGTAAAATAAGCGTGGTTAGGAAGAAAAGTTGACCTAATCTAGTTTATGCAATTAACCTTTTTCCTTTCGGTGACTTTAGTGATCAAATATTTGAATATTTATGCATGTAAAGGTGACTGAGTAGTGCTTAGTTCGATAAAAGTCTATGCATATATAAATCAAGATTAAGCCTGTTTTAATATTTCACGTATGTCATGATAATCAAACCGTCAAGTTGACAAAGGACCTAGTTATTGACCGCTCAAACAGAATGGAATTGTCAGCATTACGTAATCGAGTGGAGGAGTAAATTTAGATATATGATCACTAGGCATGTTAAAGAAAGACTGATAACTGCTTCTTTCTGAACACATAAATTTGGTTTTAAATGGTTGTTGGAGAATGCGCCGTCAAACTTCAGGAGAGTTGAGCTTTTTACCTGTTGATAATTTGCGAATTCCACCTCTTGACCCATATCAAGGAAATGCCATGCAGTGGCACCATTAAAAGCGTATGTACCCTTAATAGGTAGACCGATTTATTAAGTATACCTGGGTGAAGTGAAATCCAGAATATACTATGCCTCTTCCATCTTAATGTGGAGCAAAGAAGAGCCTACTTCAAAGAAACAAACAATTTACTTCATGTACGGAGAAAGAAATAGCCCGCCTAAAACTTGATATTTCCACAAGTGATATTTTGTTTGGCTGTATAAGGAACTAGGTTCTCAACCATTAGGTTTGACCCCTTTGTACATCTGCTAAAGTTTGCCTGGCTCATACATTTTAGATGTAACTTATTGTCAAGTGCATAAACGCACATTTGTTTTCTGCCTAACGCCACAGCAATCTGTCATTGCTAGAAGATTCATTTAGATATGCGTGGGGTACTATTCCTTGAGAAAAGTCAGTAATTTAAGCCGATGTGAATGCAAGCAAAACTCCGTCTGCTGTGATAATTTTACTTATTATGGAATTTTGATTATCAGATGTGAGTAACCTTGAAAATGATTCAGCACAACCACCTATTAACATTCTTAGTCTTTCTCGAAGTTACCAATTTTTGTCGACATATAAACTGAATATATGGACTCCTTAATATTGTGTGTTTAACTAACATATTTATATTCAAGTATTGGTCTGTTGGGATTTGATTGACTGGTTACAAGACTCCACCATGAATTACATTGATTAGGGAACCAATGGAAAACCAACCAGGGAGTGTTGGACAGATGTTTCGTCAGCATACTTTGAGACTCTTCAATAGTGCGCACACAACGGGTAAGCAGAAGGTCCTGGGTTCGAACTACACCGAGTACACACTGCCAGAAAGTTCCAAACTAGACTTACGAAACAGCTCTCCAGTACTCCCGTTGGTTTTCGAGAGGTTCTCTAAGCGATGTCAGCTCATAATGAAATCCTGTAACCAACATATTCGTGGGAAGTCATGGAATTATTACTTGTATTGTTTGTTTTCAATTTCACATAGTCGATAAATTCTAAATGTATATCAATATTAGTTATACTTTCAGTGATTTATTTAAAGTCAGAATACTGACAAACACTGGATTTTTCATCAAGTATCACCTGAAATCAGATCACGAAATGACATCAGTTAGAAAACTACTGAAGGCCAAAGAGTTCTGGTCAACTGATTAGGCTTTTCAGAAGTAAGCAGGTATGACCCCACTAGAGATAAACACAGGACCTTCAGAGTACAAAGTCAACCTATACATTGCTAAATCGTCAGATGCAAATACATCCACAGGATTAAATTCCAACGTAATATTACTACTAGTCAGGATGAAACTTTGGGGATTGTTTTTTTTAAGATTTTGTTTTGTAATAAAGTACATTTACTCACTATTTATATCAACTTTTAAGTAGTTTTGGAATGTGATAACAGCACTGATATCTAGAAAGACCAAAAGTGTATATTAACGTTCGGTTGTAAAAATGCTTAGTAAGTATAAACCAATCTGAAGCAATAGTCATCTGCTAGCCTGCATTTGACAGCTGGTCATCCACAGAATAATTCCCAGCTACCGGTAACCAGTTTACAACATCGCTTCTTTCTGAAGTATTCCAGACCTCTATAATGATACGTACTCACTATGTAGGGAAATGTAGATTACAAGTTAGTATCATACTATTGGTTGGAATAAGCAGTTGGAAGCTGTTCATCTCAATCGATCAATAACTGATGCTTATCAATAGCAAGCAACGAATTCTTGAGTGGAAAAATTAACAAATTGGTCAGTGAGACTCTTGATGTTATAACTTTCAAAATTTCTCTAATTTAAATGCACAAATCGATAATTGTTTAAATAAATCACTAAAAATCTGGAGCAGCACCGACCAGTTGTCTCGTCCTAGTTGTGAAGTCCTTCGCTTTAGTGTATATTGTTAAAGAATGCCAATTCCGGATGAGACTATTGTACAATGTGACATAATTTAATTCTCAAAGACTTTCTGAACTGATTTTGTGATGTGATTTCAACTTTTGTTAGTTTTCTAATGTAACCAAGCTGTCTACAGACGATTCTTCGATTTCGTGAAGACAATTCTGTTTCAACTCTGATAGCGAGTTGTTACCAATCTTTCAGACGGAACTAGTCTGACAGTAATCGACTCAGTATGGGTGTTGATTTGTAGATATTGATGAAAAAAATTCAAATTCGTACGGTTAGTCATCGGCTGACTGTTTTAATCGAATTGGCTTTAGCCTAAGTGGTATCCCATAAGAGATATTTTTATGAAATTTCTTTGAGACATTTAAAAATTCAAAGGTAATCAAAATTCACTAATTTACTAGACCCAGTGAATAATGTATGTAGGTTGTTCTTTCACACGGAAAAGATCCTACGCAAGACTAGCAGTCACTTAACTTTGTGTTGTTTTGTAAATAGGTTGGAACATATGAATAAGTGTCATTATATAAATATATCACTTGCAAACATGCATACGTATTTTGTGAATTCACATCCACACCCACACATACCCAAACGCATAAATACTTTAGGTGTAAGTATCAATAAAAGGAAATGTGACTAGTGTGACGGAATAATTCTTATATATGACGAGCCCACCAACTAGCCAGATCGATAATTGAGCCTGTTCATTAAGTGTATTTATGTGGTATATCTGAGAGTCATCTAATAAATTACGTATAGATAAGGGCAAATCTTTTTTAGCTACAATATTGAGAGCGCAGATATGCGCAGCTGAAGGGTTCCGAAACAGGTTAAAATGCACGTAATAGATTCTGCTATGGACCACCACCAAACAGGTAGTATTTTAGATTCAGAAATAATGTTTAATTCACTGTCAAAATGTATTTTGTCGTAAAATATATATGACTTGAGTGACCATAGTAGTTGAAGTGGTGTCACAAACTATGCCATCAAATAGTCAGGAACGTCTGTAATTTAGGTGTTAAAAATTCCGGAGATGAACTCATCTTACAGACCTCACCTTCTAATGTTTACTCAATTATGTAACATGAGTTATATATGCCCAAACCAAGTTCACTTTAAACAGTTTGAAAAAATTCAGCCATTGGGTATATAAAGGTTTTCTTGTATTTCCCAATGAATGAAAAACAAAACTATATTGTTTTTACTAACATTTCACCATTTATTGCTGCTAATAGCTTTATCAAAATATTATAAAATCAAAACTTACAAAATCTCAGTAAAATAACTACCCGAAGAACTTCATCAATAAAGACATTGAATATGATCGAAAACGCATTCCGAAAACATGGACCTCAACAGTTATCCTTCCACATAGAGCGGAGACGTCAGACGATATCAGAACAGTACTCAATAAGCACGACATCAAACTTTTCGTTAAGACATAAGACACTTTGTGAAGCAATCTTGTTCATATAGAAGACCAAATTCCTGAAGATTCTCTATCCACTTCTGTCTATAAAATGAAATGCTTGAAATGTGATGTGATATACATCGTAAAAACATCTCTAGAAATCAACATCAAAGAAATGAACACCACTGAGCATTTGTTTGACCACCAAGAAATCCAGTTAAACTAAAAAGCTTCAAAAACCATCAGCCATAGCTCGTCTACACGCTATAGAATCAAAATACAAAATTGATTTTGATAATAGTGGAATGATCCAGAAAATTTCAGAAATCATTAAAAACGTCTACCATTTCAGAATCACTTCATATAAAGTGGAATCCAAACTGTCTGAATAGGAGTGATGGATTAAAACAGGATTTGACCTGGTAACAACACTGCTTCCCTCCCCCATGAAATGATAAAGTCAACACGAATGTGATAAGCAATTTCATTGTGTAAACACAC